ATGACAGCCATAAAGGTGCAGATCTAATTCATCAAACAATTCATCTAGGCCAGGGGTCTTCAAACTTGGCCCTTTTATGGCTTATGGACTTCAACTCCCAGAATTCCTCTGCCAGCATGCCTGGCTAAGGAATTCTGGGAGTTGAAATCCACAAGTCATAAAAGGGCCAGGTTTGAAGACCCCTGATCTAGGCTTTTACCCCTGTGGCATGAGCTGAATTATTCCTCTAAAGCAGGGGTGTCAAAGTCAATTTCATTGAGGGCCGCATCAGCATTGTGGTTGCCCTCAGGGGGCCGGGTGAGTGTGGCCAGGGTGGGTGCGGCCTACTGGGTGGGCGTGGATGGAGTGGGTGTGGCCCAATGGGTGGGCATGGCCAGCTCTACATCGTTTGCGTCAAGGGTGCCTGTGGGGGCCTGGGCAGGAGTGGGACAGATCTGAGGGTCTCTGGCAGAAGGGGGTGGGACCGGGGCAAGTGCCAAGGCATGGTCCACTGGAGGAGCCTCACTGTTCCTCTCAGGCCATGCAGGGGGGGGGGGCTTATGGAGCTAAGACTGAATGCGTTTCAGCATAGATGGCCACCACAAAATTGTACATTGGCTCCCGGCTGGCCTGGGCCAGGGCCAAGGCAGAGGGGGCCGTTCCCTCACTGTTTCCAGGATGGCTTTGCGGGCGATCTTCTGACAAGCAAAGTCAATGTGGACACCAGATTCACCTTACAACTGTGTTATTAACTTAACAACACAGTTGTAAGGTGAATCTGGTGTCCACATTGACTTTGCTTGTCAGAAGATCGCAAAAGAGAATAACAGGACCCCTGGGGACACAGCAACCGTCATACATACATGCCAGTTGCCGAGTACCCAAATGTTGGTCACATGACCATGGGGATGCAATGGTCATAAGTGTGAAAAATGGTCATAAATCACTTTTACCAATGTCATTGTAACTTTGAATGGTCAAATGGTTGTAAGTTGAGGACCGTCTGTAAAGATTTGCTAATATTTCTTTTATCTTTTTAAAACCTAAAAAAAAACCTTTATGCATTTACAGTAGCTAGCTTCTTTCCAAATCCTTTATAAACAAGGTTGAGTTATTGTTTTTCTACTAAGGATCATTTTCCCTCAGAGGCAAGCTGGTATCGTTGTATGTGTATGTGATAATATATGTGCATGCACATCGGTATGTGATCTGTGAGACTGAGGCAAAGGGGAGAAAAACATCAGAGCTAAACATAACTAGGATACCCTGGGGAATTCTGGGAGTTTATGCCCACAGATCTTCAAGTTGTCAAGGTTGAGAAACACTGGCGGCAAGAGTACTTTATGTACAAAAATGGAAGGATACTTTGATTCCTACAATGGATGAATGGCTGCAAAAGCTGATGGAGTTAGCAGAGATGGCCAAATGGACTGCTTTGATTAAAGAAAAAAGCACAAGTACTTTTGTTTCTACTTGGAAACCGCGTCTGGACTTTGTGCTTGAGGTGGGCGGGGGGGAATGAAACTTTGATTTTGGTTTTTACTGATTAGATAGGTTTGTTGTTATCGAAATGGCTGGCTGTCCAGTCTCTTCTTAAAAACCTCCAGTGCTGGAGCATTCACCGCTTCTGGAGGCAGGCTGTTCCACTGATTAATTGTTTTAACTGTCAGGAATACTGACAGTTAGACAGTTTATATTACATAATACTTTTGTATTATGTAATATAAACTAATAAAAAAGGACCTATATATATAAAAAAAGAGAAACGTTGAGTTAGACCAATATTTGAAGGGGATTCATCTTCCTTTCTGTCTTAGCCCTGATCGCGCAGTGGTTAGAATGCAGGCTAGCTCACTGCTCACTGCTCACTACCAGGAGTTCAATCCTGACCAGCTCAAGGTTGACTCAACCTTCCATCCTTCCGAGGTCAGTAAAATGAGGGCCCAGATTGTTGGGAGGAATATGCTGATTCTGTAAACCACTTAGTGAGGGCAGTAAAGCACTACGAAGCGGTATATAAGTCTAGATGCTACTGCTATGGGTATTGCTTCGTTCGACTCTGTTTCTCTCCTGTGAGCTACAAAGATCAGATTCTCTGACATCCACACTCTCTCTGTGCCACATATTTTTCTAATCAGTAAGGCCCACAGACCATCCTAAATCTGGAGTTGCTTATTCCTGCTTAATGGGCAACCCTTTCAGGCACAGATGCTCTCCTACACACCAAAGAAAGACCGAGGCAGACACTTGGCTGCTCTCTTATTATCAGCATTATAATTATCAGCTCTCTTCTCCTTGGCGTTTGCATGTTGATCCATCTTACTGGGCCATCCGTGTTTGCCAGAGTCATTGATACCCTCCCTATTGCAACTATGCACTCAATGTCTGAATATGAGATAGGAACACTGCCTGCCAGCCTGGCTTAAGCTTCTAGGAAATGTTCCCTCTACTAGACTCAAAGGTTACAGAGCGGGAACACAGCCTGCTGCTCCGTTACCACTTGTCCGACATAGCAAAACTGTTGTTTTGCTTCTGCTGCTGCATTCTTGCCATAGATCACATTGCTTTCCCTGCCCAAGGGATATCAGTGTCTTAGTAATGTGTTGGCAGAAAGGATAAAGAGTTTCAGTTTCTATGTTCTGAACATAGAACAGGTTTCTGTGTTCACAACAAGAAGCAATGGATGGAAAGTTTTGGTCGCCACGATGTAAAAAAGGTGTTGAGACTCTAGAAAGAGTGCAGAGAAGAGCAACTAAGACGATTATACAGGGCTTTTCAACCAGTGGTACGGGTAACACCTGTGGTACATTGGCACCTGGCAGGTGGTACGCGAACATCCTAGAGAAGTAGCGGGGGAGGGGAATGAGCTGAACTGGTGGTAGCACCGCACAAGCCTAAGCGAGAGATGGCTGCAGTTGCAGGGCTGTCGGGGCTCAGCGGAAGCGCCAGGATCAGTGCCAGGCTGTAGCTGGAGCTCAGCACTGATCCTGGCGCTTCTGCTGAGCCCAGAAGAAGCGCCAATCAGCTGGAATGTTGCAGCATCTCCAGGGTTTTGTGATTTACATTCAGATGCTTGGCAACTGATTCATATTTATGACAGTCACAGTGTCCCAGGGTCATGTGAAGTGACCAAAACCTGCTGCAACCACCCAGCAGACGGGAGGGAATAAAAACCAAACACCCCCCACCCCACCCCCGCTGCCAATCCTCAACAGAAATGCTCACAACAATGGAAACCTCAGACAGGAGGAAGAGCGCAGCCAGGTGGGCAAGCAGGTGTCTTGCTCAGCTATGGCTTGGGGGGCACTTTTTCAGTGCCATTGTAACTTCGAACAGTCAGTAAGCGAACTGTTGTAAGTCGAGGACTACCTGTACTTTATCACTTTTTCCCTTTTTTTTATGGTCATCAAGTTTTTGACACCTTGCTAGGCGACTGGTGGTACTCGGATGTTGCCATATCCTAAAAGTGGTATAATGGGTGAAAAGGTTGAAAAGCCCTGGATTAGGGGACAGGAGGTTAAACTGTATAAAGAACAGTTGCTGGAATTGGGTATTTCTAGTTTAATGAAGAGAAGGACGAGTTTAATGAAGAGAAGGACATGATGGCAGTGTTCCAATATCTCAGGGGTTGCCATAAAGCAGGGGTCCCCAACCCCTGGTCCGGGGACTGGTATTGGGCTGCGGCATGCCAGCAACCGGGCCGCACAAAGAAGCAAAGCCCCATCCACTGTATGCAGGCAGCACACAAAACCATGCCCCCTCCGGTGGAAAAACCTCTCTCCACGTAACCGGTCCTTGGTGCCCAAAAGGTTGGGGACCTCTGCCATAAAGAAGTACCGGAAGGCAGGACAAGAAGCAATGGATGGAAACTAATGAAGGAGAAAAGCAACCTAGAACTAAGGAGAAATTTCCTGGCAGTTAGAACAATTAATCAGTGGAATTTGCTTACAGAGGTTGTGGCTTCTCCATCACTCGATGTTTTAAGAAGAGACTGGACAACCATTTGTCTGAAATGGTATAGGGCAGGGGTAGGCAACCTTGGCTCTTTTATGACTCGTGGACTTGAACTCCCAGAATTCCTGAGCCAGCATGGCTCAGCATGGAAACCTCCCTTTCCCCTCAGCATGGCTGGCTCAGGAATTCTGGGAGTTGAAGTCCACGAGTCTTAAAAGAGCCAAGGTTGCCCACCCCTGGTATAGGGTTTCCTGCCTGAGCAAGGGGTTAGACTAGAAGACCTCCAAGGTCCCTTCCAGTTTTGTTATTTTGTTATTCTATGTTCGATGCTCCTTTATGGAAAAGGGCAGAGGTCTTCTCCTTGCATGGAGAAGCTTGACTTGATTTATTTATTTATTTATTTATTTATTTATTTATTTATTTATTGTATTTTTACCCCGCCCTTCTCCTTGCAGACTCAGGGCGGCTAACAGCCTACTAAAAACAAATACAAAAGTACAAAAATACTACCGTTAAAACGTAATTAAAAGGAAATATTAATTTGGCCTTTGTTATTTTAAAAATTGTTTTAAAACCCAACTAAAAATACCCCTTAGGACAGTCCTGCCAGCTTAAATAGCCATGTCTTGAGGGCGCGGCGGAAGGAAGGGAGATCCGGGATCACCCTGATCTCTGGGGGCAGTTCATTCCAGAGGGTGGGTGCTCCCACAGAGAAGGCCCTCCCCCTTGGGGTCGCCAGCCGGCACTGTCTGGCTGACGGCACCCTGAGGAGACCCACTCTGTGGGAGCGTACCGGCCGATGGGAGGTAATCTGAGGCAGAAGGCGGTCTTGGAGATATCCAGGTCCGATGCCATGGAGCGCTTTGAAGATGATAATCAACACCTTGAAGCGCACCCGGAAAGCCACCGGCAGCCAGTGATGGTTTACATGATGGTTTACAATTTTCTGTTTGCTTCTGAGCTTGGTTTATTTCTGAGGTAGGATTCCAAGTCTGAAACATCAGGATCACGAGATTTTACAATTAAGGGATTGCTCTGGTAGATGTAAAGATTTTTGAGCCTCTGGATGGGGTCATCCAATGTATTAAATTCCATACAAACATGCAATACTAGGGCTTGATATTCTAGTTCACACCACATGCAAAACTAACAGCTGGGCATCCTACAACCCACTGAATTACAATCTACCCTGACCTGTTTTTAGGCTAGTCTGACCACACAATTACTCAAAATTGACTAGTGTTTTAAAAGTATTTCTTCTCCAAATTTGCATTGTTTTTTAGCCAAAGAAAAAAGTGAGGTAGCAAAGCACTCTCAATCCAGCTAGAGAGTATATGTACCAAAACACACCGCAGGAATATAACCTTAGATATACTTCTAATTTACCTGGGAGTAAATCCCTCTAAATTCAAGGAGTGTTCTCCCATGAAAACCTATTTAGGATTGCAACCTGTATTGGAGGGGGGAAAAAACCCCCTTAAAATGTTTTTAGATCTTTTCTTACATCGCTTTGATATTTTTCCAGTCTAGTCAGTTTTTGCAATTATACCCTGTTAAAAACGTTTATCTCCTGCATGGATGAAAAGGAAGGCCACCCACAGAAAATTCATCGTGGTGTGTGCGCATGCGCACGCGCATCGGCAGTGAAGGCCTCCGACTGCTTTTTGCACAAAAGGAATTCTTCAGTGCTCAGGCTGCACAGTCCTTTCTTCCAGTCGGCACAATCTGCGCTGCTCACCGCTCTCTTCTTCAGATAAGCACAGGGTCCGTCTCCCTCCACTTCAAAGCTGCAAAGCAATAGAGAGTTGCTGGCATATCTAATTTTGTATGTATCAATAGTAGTAAGGACTGTTATTTGTTCAATGTTGGGGAAATGAAAACACTAGTGCAGGGGTAGGCAACCTTGGCTCTTTTATGACTCGTGGACTTCAACTCCCAGAATTCCTGAGCCAGCATGGCTCAGCTTGGAAACCTCTCCCTTTCCCCTCAGCATGGCTGGCTCAGGAATTCTGGGAGTTGAAGTCCACGAGTCATAAAAGAGCCAAGGTTGCCTGCCCTTGCTATGGGAAGAAGAGAGGATCAAGGGGGGGGAAAAAACACTGGATTGTGTAGCATTGAACAGATTTATATTGCAGAGGTTAAGATGTAACATTGAGTAAGAAATGTACCCGGACATCACGTTGTTTACTAAGCACTTAGGATTTGTAATAATAGAAAATGAATAAAACACCTATATATAAAAAAGAAAATTGCTGGCATTTATACGTTTCTATAATGCGTTTCCATAAAGTTGCATTTCTAACCCAAAGTGCTTAAGAGAGGCATCGAGAAACACGGGGAGAAGAATGCACAAACAAGGGCTGGTATGCTCAAAGTACAGGTGGTCCTCGACTTACAACCGTAATTGAGCGCAATGCTTCTGTTGTTAAGGGAAACATTAGTTAAGTAAATTTGCCCCATTTTTATGACCTTTCTTGCCACAGCTGTTAAGTGAATCACTGCAGTTGTTCCGTTAGTAACCCAGTTGTTAAGTGAATCTGGCTTCTCTGGTTATAAGAAGGTTGCAAAAGGGGATCACGTGATCCCGGGACATTGCGACGGTCATAAATACGAGTCAGTTGCCAAGCATCTGAATTTTGATCACATGACCATGGGGATGCTGCAAGCAGTCCTAATTGTGAAAAACGGTCATAAGTCACTTTGTTTCAGTGCCGTTGTAACTTTGAATGGTCACTAAGTGAACTGATGTAAGTCGAGGACCACCTGTATAAAATGACAGGAAAAAAATTAAAACAGCCACAGGAATTGTTTGCAAAGTGCAGGTTGTCCTTGAAATATGACCACACTTGGATTGGAAATTCAATCCCTAAGCGATGCAGGCATTAAGTGAGTCATTACATGACTGCGCCCAATTTTATGACCGGCTTTTGCTGTGGTCATTAAAACGAATCCTGCTCCTCGCCCCACTGACTTTGCTTATCGGACGCCAGTTGGGAATGTGTTCAAATGGTCACCATGTAGCCCCAGGACGTTGTACATACTGGTTGCCAAGCTCCTGAGACGCCATCTTGTGGCTGCAGAGGACGCTGTGATAGTTGTGAGGACTGGTCATAAATCTCTTTTTTTCAGGGCTGTCGTAACTTTGAATGGTAGTTAAAGCAATGATTGTATGTTGAGGACTGCCTGTATTTCTCAACCGAGTTCTGTTAATGCCCAAGAGAACAAGGCACCATTCAAGCCGTCCCCTTCAGGCAAAAAGCTGAATGGCTGGGTTCACAAAACCAGAGCTGGGATGCTGAGGGTTCTCCCCTGGGTGAGATTCACAGATGCAGGGCGAAATATGTTGCTGTCCTATAAGGTTTTCTTGTCTGTTTGGAATTCATTCATTTGTTGTTGTTGTTAGTTGCAAAGTCATGTCCGACCCATCACGACCCCATGGACAACGTTCGTCCAGGCCTTCCTGTCCTCTACCACCTTCTGGAGTCCATTTAAGCTCACGCCTACTGCTTCAGTGACTCCATCCAGCCACCTCATTCTCTGTCGTCCCCTTCTTCTATTGCCCTCCATCTTTCCCAGCATTAGGCTCTTCTCCAGTGAGTCCTTCCTTCTCATTAGGTGGCCAAAGTATTTGAGTTTCATCTTCAGGATCTGGCCTTCTAAAGAGCAGTCAGGGTTGATCTCCTCTAGGACTGACCGGTTTGATCACCTTGCAGTCCAGGGGACTCGCAGGAGTCTTCTCCAGCACCATAGTTCAAAGGCCTCAATTCTTTGGCGCTCAGCCTTTCTTATGGTCCAATTTTCGCAGCCATACATTGCAACTGGGAAAACCATGGCCTTGACTATACGTACTTTTGTTGGCAGGGTGATGTCTCTGCTTTTTAGTATGCTGTCTAGTTTTGCCATAGCTTTCCTCCCCAGGAGCAAGCGTCTTTTAATTTCTTGGCTGCAGTCCCCATCTGCGGTGATCTTAGAGCCCAGGAAGATAAAATCTGTCACTAAATTCATTCATGCCTTGTGAAACTTCGGAGATGTTCTGTAGGGGCATGGACAATAATTGCTATTGGAGGATGGGAGAGGGTTGATTTGAATGTGTTTGTTTTTATATGTCTGTTTTAGTGTTTTCATCCAATACTGGAAACCACTGGGAGTATGTAAGGAACATGGCGGTCTATCAGAATAGTAAAGTAAATGATTGATTGAATGAATGACTGTTCCAAAGTTGCTTTTCCAAAAGGCAACTGGATATTCTTGTGGGGTTTTTTTTCCTTGTGAAAATGTTTCGCTTCTCATCCAAGAAACTTCTTCAGTTCTTCAGAACTGTTCAGAATAGTGAAGAAGTGAAGAAGTGAAGAAGCTTTTGGGATGAAAAGCAAATTTTTTTCAAAGAAAAAAAAAACAAGAAAACTCAGTTGCCTTTTGGAAAAGTAACTTTGGGAGAACTGTGACCTGGATGATTGAGCATCTCCATGGAGATTGAATGAATGAGTGAGTGCATGAGTGAATGAATGAATGAATGAATGAATGAACGAGACAAGCACAGTTGGAACCAATCTAAATTTCCTTTTGTACCTTGGAAACTATTTCATTTTCTCCTTCCTTCCAGCTTATATGCCATTCCAATCCAGGGCGTTGGAGCTGTTTGCAATAGACCAGATGTAAACTGAGACAATTACAGAGCTTTTATAACTTCTAACCTCACATGCTTACACATGCTGGTTACTATGATCTTTCCTCTCACTCCCAAATATCTGCCTAAAGAGCCATATTGTAATGATTTTTTTGAAGACTTAATGGAGAGTATGGTCTGAGTATCCAATGGTAGGAAGAACTTACAGGTTTTTGAACAGAGTCCCATCTGGCCATTTCCAGCTCTCTTCAGGACTTCTGTGGAGGCCAACCCAGTGGTTAAAGGGCTCTCTGACATTCATGGTGCCAATCTGTTTTTGAATTAAAAAAAAAGAGAAACAAAATATGGGTGTCATGGTTCCGACAGATGAAACTCTTCAAAAGAACTTCAAGGCATCGTTTACCTTAAAGAATCTTTATTTTGAATAGTATAACATCGGTACTGCATAATCAAAGCCAAAAACTGAATTCCCCCCCCCCCAGCACATAGTATCAAACCACAATTCCCTCCTCCAATTGACAGTCATAAATCACATTCCTTATCAGCTCTGGTTACAATAACCTTGTTTCTCACGCTAGGTCCAATGTTGTTATGTCTAGCTGGACTCTCGTTCACATTCCCCCTCCCAGCATCATCTAACTCTGAAAGCAAAAGGTAAAAGATGGCTACATTCCCATGTGTTGTCAGTGCAAAAACATCCAATGTTAGCAGCGTTGACAATGGGTTTCAGAACATTTTAGAAATTGAGTTCTGTTTCTTCCCTCATCACTCTTCATATATGTGCACGTATACGTACATGTTTTATCAAGAATGACAATTCACATTCTTAAGAAAATCCACTATCTGGATTGCTTGAATTACACAGTCTGCTTCTGGGGTACAGAGGATAAAGCAACACCTGGCATGAGATTTAAATTCCTGGAACATCCTGGAGAGATAATGGCAGGCTCTTATTTCATAAAATAGTGAAAGAGTAGGCAGGCCTGATTGAGCGTAACTGCAGATAACAATTTTGACAGATTCTTCTCTTACCAGTTTCTCTAGATCCCCAAAGACAGCCAAGGTGGCCCCAAGGGAGAGACAACGATTTTGACTAGCATTCCAGGTCTCTTTGGTTTCCATAACATGATAGCAATTTCCTTGGTTCCTGTGCCAGCCCGCTGGGCAACAGGAAGTGGTGGCAGCAGCAGAAGGCAAATGAGGTTTAGCTTCTGAAAATACAAATTCATGTTATTTAATAGATTATTATCCTCAGTCCTTTATTTAGGAACAGAGGTGGGGAACTATGGCCCCTTTATGACTTGTGGATTTCAACTCCCAGAATTCCTGAGCTAGCATGGGACTCAACTCCCAGAATTCCTCAGCATGGCTGGCTCAGGAATTCTGGGAACTGAAGTCTACAAGTCCTAAAAGGGCCATAGTTCCCCACTCCTGATTTAGAAGAATGTTTCTCAGCTTTCTGAATTTCTAGGTGCATGAACTTCAACTCCCAGAATTCCACAGTCATCATGGCCACTGATAAGAATTCTGCATAATATAGTTCTATCAGTCATCCGGTTGAACACCCATTATACTAAACCAAGTTTTATTTTAACTACAGTTGGTTGAATGGACCTAACATAGGGTTTGATGTACATTTGGCTGTAAGCAAGAACAACCGCTGAGCAAAAAGAACGAAGAGAGGCAAATATTATTATAGCTCATTGCACAACCAGCCAGATGTTTTGACTGGATCTGGCACCTACTGATTCCTTCCCAAGGATCTGAGATAGGCAGATGTTGTTTTGAAGGCATGAAAGATATTCTCACAAAATATACGCTGTTCCAAGTAAAGCTCCCTGCGATGGAGATTTTGTCAAAGCTGATGATATTCAAGTGGTGCCTCAGTTGTTTTGGGCTTCCACTCAAGGGACCTATCACTATTTCTGCTATATTTGCTTTCTTTATAATAACATTATTGTTATTATTACAGAATTAGGGAAACGCTTTTATTTGAACACCAACATCTCCGTATATTTTGGAAGTCTGCAGCTATCCTTCCCCAAAATGATCTCATTATAGGAAAAAAAAGTAAACACCGTCAGAGCAAAAGACAAATAACGTCTTTAGCAAAAAAACAAAAAAAAAACCCAAATAAATTATTGTGTCAAATTATGTTCCTCAGAAGCTAGGAATAATAATTAAAAACAATTATCTGGGGCTCGATTTTACAAAAGAAAAAAAATCAGTTGCTGCAAGTTTTCATACGGGTAGTGTGATAAAGTGGATTTTAAGACCTTCTCCTTAGTACAGTGTAATTTTGGGGGCAGTTGTTTCAAACAGACAGTGTCTTGGCTTCCCTTTTATGACCTTAGTTTGACACAGATGTCAGATAAGGAGGTGCCAGATAAACGGCTGCTGGAGCTGAACAATCTGCCAGGACAAGAATCATTAAAGCCGTTTCAGATTTTTTCCTTCCCAGTTACAAAAATATTTATTTCAAAGATGATTTGCTGCAAAACCAAAATAAAAAAAACAAAACCTTGTAGGCTCACTCTGATATTCTCCAAACTCTGTGCAGAGTTCAGGGATTCACTGCTATTCCCCAAACTAAAAGAGATTGCTGGGATTTGTATCCATAGTCTGTGGGGCTTTCTGGGTGTGTGATTTCCACTGAATTACAATGTGGGAAAGCAATGAACAACACTCTGCTCTAAGCCAGGGCTTTTCAACCAGTGGTACGGGTACCACCTGTGGTACATTGGCACCTTGCAGGTGGTACGCGACCATCCTAGAAAAGTGGTAGTGGGGGAGGGAAATGAGCTGAACCAGTGGCAGCACCGCACAAGCCTGAGCGAGAGATGGCTGGAGCTGCAGGGCTGTCAGGGCTCAGCAGAAGCACCAGAATCAGTGTCGCTTTCCAGCTGATCGGCGCTTCTTCGGGGCTGCCAGAGCTCAGTGGAAACGCCAGGATCAGCGCCAGGCTCCAGCTGGAGCTCGGTGCTGATCCTGGTGCTTCTGCTGAGCCCAGAAGAAGCACCAATCAGCTGGAAAGCAGCACTGATCCTGGCCCTTCTGCTGAGCCCAGAAGAAGCGCCGATCACCTGGAATGTTGCAGCACCTCCAGGGTCTTGTGATTTACATTCAGATGCTTGGCAACTGATTCATATTTACGACGGTCCCAGGGTCCCAGAGTCATGTGAAGTGACCAAAACCTGCTGCAACCACCCAGCAGACGGGGGGGGGGGGGAATAAAAACCAAACACCTCCCCCCATCCCGCCCCCACTGCCAATCCTCAACAGAAATGCTGACAACAATGAAAACCTCGGACAGGAGGAAGAGTGCCGCCGTGTGGGCAGGCAGGTGTCTTGCTTGGCTGTGGCTCGGGGGGCCCTTTTTTCAGTGCCATTGTAACTTCGAACAGTCACTAAGCGAACTGTTGTAAGTCGAGGACTACCTGTACTTCATCACTTTTTTCCTTTTTTTTGTCATCAAGTTTTTGACACCTTGCTAGGTGGTACTCGGATATTGCCATATCCTAAAAGTGGTACAATGGATGAAAAGGTTGAAAAGCCCTGCTTCTAAGCAGCTGCCTGCTTGCATGATGGGTGATGTTCTCCAGAGTAAGAAAGAAAGACAAAGGAAGAACCAATATTTTCATAAACTAACCTCAGCAATGTTGTACCCTACAAAGTAAACTGCCTAGTTATGCGGGAAGTTATCGGAAATATTTCTAGAAACAAAACTGCAAACAATGTGTACGTGAATAGAGTCCTCGACTTAATTGAGCCCAACATTTCTGCTGCTAAGCAAGACAGTTAAGTGAGTTTTGCCCTATTTTACGATCTGCGACGGTTATTCAGTGAATCACTGTGGTTGTTAAGTTAGTAACCTGATTGTTAAGAGACCCTGGCTTCCCCAACTGACTTTGCTTGTCAGAAGGTCTGCAAAAGGGGATTACGTGAGCCTGGGAGACTGCAATCGTCATAAATATGAGTCAATTGCCAAGTATCTGAATTTTGATCACGTGCAACATGGGGATGCTGCAGTGGTCGTAAGTGTGAAAAACGGTCATAAGTCACTTTTCCCAGTGCTGTAGTACAGTCCATAGGGCAGTGATGGCGAACCTTTTAGAGACCGGGTGCCCAAACTGCAACCCAAAACCCACTTATGTATCGCCGGGTGCCAGGTGGGCGTGGCCCACTGGGTGAGCGTGGCTGTGGTGGTCATGGCAGACTGGGTGGGTGTGGCCAAGGTAGGTATGGTCACCTTGATGTTGCTTGTGGGGAGGGACACCTGTGGGGGCTGGGCAGGGTTGGGGAAGATCCAGGGGGTCTCTGGCAGGTGGGGCGGTGGACAGGAGGCTCGTCCTGTGGGGTGAGGCGGGGCAAGATGAGGTAGGGCGGGGGTGCCATTGTCGCAAGGCGAGGCAGGGGCTGGGGTGGCTGCTGCCTGACACCGTCGGCCCCCGCACACAGAGGCCAGCGAGCGCATGGGGGCCGACAGTGTCCGTCAGCAGCCACAGCCTGCCAGCCCCTCGACCGGTATACTCTGGGGCTCCGCAGCACGCCACCAGCAGTTCAGAGAAGCCGCCTCTGAGCTGGACGGCCGGCCAACAGCTGAGGAGGCGATGCAGTGGGTCGTGCCTGGGAAAAAGAGAGCATGCGAGGCCAGGAGGGATGGGACGGGACGGGAGGGAAACCAGCCATGCTGGGATGCATCCAGCCACATGGGACCTCAGCAAGTTAACGGGCGGCTGGTTGAAGAGGGACAGTTGCCATCTTCGGGGCATGGCACACGTGCCCACAGAGAGAGCTCTGAGTGCCGCCTCTGGCACGCTTGCCATAGGTTCACCACCACTGCCATAGGGTCTGAACATGGCTGCCTTGAACACTAGGCCTTCTTCTCACACTCATACTGGATCTTTTTGTTAAGGTGGGGATCCAGGACTGGGATATTTTCTTTTGAAGGTCCTCAACTTACGGTCACTAAATGAATTGTTGTAAGTTGAGGATTACCTGTATTATTCTAAAGGATGAAACTTGGATAGATCAATATGGAACATGAGTCTGTCACTCACTTGTGAAAACGAAGATGGTGGTTACCAAGCCCGCAATCTGAATGACAAAGAGTATGAGGACAATCCACGTAATTGAGTTCTTGACCCTTGTGTTGGGTTGGGTGCCTACAAAGGAAAAGATCATATGTCATTATAACTTATTTTTATTGCATTTTTTAAAAGACCTTCCTTCCCAGGAAGCTTAGAAATGGCTTAGTGGATCCTGCACTACCTTGGCAACTGATAACACCCAGTTTCATGCCCCCTCAAAGCACCCATTATTGAAATTAAACATAGGTGTGATCAGAAAGGCTGTCAGTTTTTTTTCTTCTTCCCTTTCTCTCAACTGTATTTAACATCTTGTTGAATAAACAGTTCTTAACGGCTCAAATGTTTGCATTCTGCTTGATTAATCCAACCTGAGTTGGCTTAATAAATATGTACTTCAAGGTGTATCTCTACTAATTATTTCAGCAGGTTGCCCTTGAGATCTAGACCACAAACCATAACTTCAGAGAGTCAGATAAGTAAACAGACGCTTCTAAATCACTGGGGAGCTTGCTGTGCTCCAGATGTGGCTAAAGTAAGACTCTCAGCATGTCTCCCCATGGTCCAGCTGTCTGTGGCTGCTCAGAGGTAATGGTGAGCATCATCTGGAAGGCAATATGGAACCTGCTGTAAAGGGTGCCCCAGTCACCTCAGTGATGTGACACGCCCTGTGCTCATAAAACACTTTATGTCTATGGATGATTTTCAATCATCCAGGTCATGATTGCCCCAGAGGTGCTTTTTCTAAAAGACAACTGGACTTTCTTGGTTTTTTTTTTATTTGAAAACATTTCACTTCTCATCCAAGAAGCTTCTTCAGTTATAACTGACTGGTGAGGAATGGAAGGGTTTGTATTCTTTGCAGTTGTTAGCTCTCTGAGAGTCACTGAGTCCACTTGGGAATTTTATCCAGTTGTTAGCTCTTTGAGAGTCACTGAGTCCACTTGGGAATTTTATGTATCCTCAAAATCAGTTGAATCAGAGTGTAAACAAGTGTGGAACCTTCTTGGGACTGCTGAAAGGACAAGGTTCCACACCTGTTTACGCTTCTGATTTGGCCTAGATTAATTCCCAGAGTCCCTATCAAGCCAAACTAGTTCCTTGGATGACAAGCAAATAAGGAAGGATACATTATGTATTAAGAATTTTTTGGAGAGCTTCTGATTTGTTAGCACCCAGTTGTGAACCACATGGGACTACAGCATATACAATAATGGCAAATAGAGTAGAACAGGGGTCCCCAAACCCCGGCCTGTGGACCAGCAACGGGCTGTGGCATGCCAGAAACCAGGCCGCACAAACAAGCAAAGCCCCATCCCCGGGATGTAGGCAGAACACAAAACCACACCCACTACAGTCCGCGGAAAAACCTCTATCCGCAGAACCGGTTTTATGGTGCCCAAAAGGTCGAGGGTCTCTGGAGTAGAACGTTGTTTCTCAATCTCAGCAACTTCAAGATGTGTGGACTTCAACTCCCAGAACTGCCCAGCCAGGATAGCTGGCTGGGGAATTCTGGGAGTTGAAGTCCACACATCTTTGCCTTACTGAGGTAGAACTACAGGACATTGGAGAGTTCCAACTTGAAAGCTTGTTCCATGGAATTTGGAGCTCAGTGGAGTCATTCAGTCTTCGTACAGCAGGGGTAGGCAACCTTGGCTCTTTTATGACTCGTGGACTTCAACTCCCAGAATTCCTGAGCCAGCATGGCTCACCTTGGAAACCTCTCCCTTTCCCCTCAGCATGGCTGGCTCAGGAATTCTGGGAGTTGAAGTCCACGAGTCATAAAAGAGCCAAGGTTGCCTACCCCTGTCCTACAGCAATCATCCACAGCCAAATTCCTTGAGGCCCAGAATGTCTGAGCATGTATTCAGAAGAAAAACTCTTAGCACTAAGTTCAGGACCATCTTTCCTCTTGGCTGACAACTGGAGCAGCCTAGAAGCTCCCAGGATCCAAACAGTGAAATTGTCTCCCTGCAGTGCAGAGGAATATCCCACAATGCCAAGTGCCTTTTACCTGCTTCCTTCTTTTCTTCCAAGCTGAAGTCCACCCACTGCTCAACAGCTGCAGGTTTATTGTCTTTCTTGTCATCTTCGTTCCCATCAGTTGCCCTTCCTTCGAAAAATAAAGCGAAATTAGATATCTACTCTACCTGAAGCAACATAAAGTTTCTTCCCTCTTGATTCTTGTAGTTTCTATCACAGGGGTCTTCAAACTTGGCCCTTTTATGACTTGTGGACTTCAACTCCCAGAATTCCTCAGCCAGGCAGGCTGGCTGAGGAATTCTGGGAGTTTAAGTCCACAAGTCATAAAAGGGCCAAGTTTGAAGACCCCTGTTCTATCACATCACAGTGCCAGAAGTTAGCAGGTGGAGCTTACTTGGGAGGTAGGGAAATCCTACGTACAGGTAGCCCTTGACTTACAATGGTTTATTTGAAGTTACAACGGCACTGAAAAAGTGATTTATGACCTTTTTTCACACTTACGACCATTGCAGCATCCCCATGGTCACCTGATCAAAATTCAGATGCTTGACAACTGACTCATGTTTATAATGGTCGCATTGTCCCGGGATCACGTGATCAGTTATGACCTTCTGACAAGCCAAGTCAATGGGGAAGCCAGATTCGCTTAACAACCATATTACAAAGTTAGCAGCTGCAGCGATTCACTTAACAACGGTGGCAAGAAAGGTAATAAAATGGGTCCAAAAACTCAACAACTGTCTTGCTTAGCAACAGAAAGTTTGGACTCAGTTGTGGTCATAAGTTGAGGACTACCTGTATTGGTATCTGGAACTAAATCCAAATGAACCTAAATGTTGTGGACATAGGCCAAGTACTGTAAACCTGGCAAAGCCATTTTTTGAAGGAAGTAGAGGCAAGGCTGTCCATTGACTACTTCAACGTAATGCCATCTTTTCCTACTGCACAATCCCAGAAAAACAGAGGCAAAAGTTGCAGACGTGTGAAACTTGCACCCCACACCTTCTGAACTATTTGTACCTAAATTTAATCCTGGCTGAAATAAGATAAGAGTCCAGAGTCTCTTGGCTGGAGAATCCTGAGAGTTGAAGTCCACACATCTTAAAATTGCTAAGTCTGAGAAACACTGCTCCTGGCCTGGAGATTCCTGACCCACTGGGTACACTAGCTATATCTGTGTGAAGCTCTTGTACAATATAGTTTTTAAATGTGGTGGATTATTGTGCCATGCCAGTAACAATATGCATGTCACTAAGCAAAACTGTTGGTGGCTTAGAAGTAGAATAGAATATAGAGTATAGAATAGAATAGAGCTGGAAGGGATCTTGTCCAGCCCCCTGCTCAAGCAGGATCACCTATACCATCTCAGACAAGTGACTGTCTAGCCTCTTCTTAAAAACCTTCAGTGATGGAGCGCCCACAACTTCTGAAGGCGAGACATTCCACTGGTTAATTTGGAGACTAATTTGACTCCCTCTTCTTTATGGGAGCCCCTCAAATACTGGAATACTGCTATCATGTCACCCCTATTTCTTCTTTTCTTTAGACTTTAGATTTTGGGTCTAATGGGATCTGGTAGAGGAAGGAGAGAAACTTTTTTTAGAGCTTCTGGGTGGTTGGTTCAAGCACTGGACAGAATTTGTAATTCAGTGAAAGGGACCTCACTTTGGAAATTTTATGGACCGATGTTTAGGATTAGCCCCAGTTTTTTGTAACACTGAGAATCAGAATTTTGTGTGTATAAATAATTTTTTTTTGAAGGTGAAATTATCCAGCTTCCTGTCTTATTACAAATTTTCTCAGGGCTTCCTTCTATTTCTTTGGTGGGCCAGTCAAGCAAACTGGCTTGATGTAAGTCATCTTACACAGGTAGTCCTTGACTTATAACCGTTCACTTAGTGACCGTTCAGAGTTACAACGGCACAGAAAAAAGCGACTTATAACCATGTTTCACACTTACCTTTTTCTATGAAGTCTTCTTTGTTTATGTTTGAAAATTCTACCATGGAAGCATCGGTTGGCTGTGATTTTGGCAAACCATCTTTCCCCCTAGGGAGAGAGGAAATTCATGATATAAAGGATATGTAATCGAAGAAGATCAAAACATTTGCGTTTTCCTACGATGGACTGTAGAGTAGAACATAATGCGATTATTTGACTAAACTGTATTCACAAACGTTAGCAGTGGAAATGCAGGTAATCCTCAACTTACAACAGTTCACTTAGTGACTGTTCAAAGTTACAGCACTGAAAAAGTGACCTATGACCATTTTTCACACTTACGACCTTTGTAGCATCCCCAGGATCATGTGATCAAAATTCAGATGCTTGGCTACTGCTTCATAACTTATGACCGTTGCTGTGTCCCCAGGTCATGTGATCCCCTTTGCGACTTTCTGACAAGCAAAGTCAATGGGGGAAGCCAGATTGACTTAACCACCGTGTTACTAACTTATCAACTGCAGTGATTCAATTAACAACTGTGGCAAGAAAGGTTGTAAAATAGGGCAAAACTCACTTAACAAACGTCTCCCTTAACAACAGAAATGTTGGGCCCAATTGTGGTCATTAGTCAAGGATTACCTGTACTATCTAAAATAGCTTGTCAATAACGTGGCAATCAAGCGCTATACATGAATAGAGTAGAGTAGAGTAGAGTAGAATAGAATAGAATAGAATAGAATAGAATAGAATAGAATAGAATAGAATAGAATAGAAGGAACCCTGGAGGTCTTCTAGTCCAGCCCTCTGCTCAAGCAGGAGGACCTATACCAGTGATGGCAAACCTTTTAGAGACCGAGTGCCCCAAAACCACCCCACCCCCCACAGGGCCACTCACCGCCTCCATGGGCCACCACAGCTGATTGCCCAGGTGGCCCAGTGGTGCCGTGGCAGCCATGCCCTCTGCCTGCACCCCACAGCATCATCTACAAGCGATGGGGTGCAAGGGCAGAGTCTTATCCTCACTGCTCAGCTGCCATGTCCTTGGCTACACTGCTCTGCATGGGCTGCGCCTGGGGGTGACTTTCTTCCGGGGGGCTGCTGGTGAGGGGGCCATGAGGGGAGGCATGGCTGGGGTGACAGCTCATGTGCCCACAGAGAGGGCTTTGAGTGCCCTCTCTGGCACACGTGCCATAGGCTCGCCACCACTGACCTATATCATCTCAGATAAGTGACTGTCCAGTCTCTTCTTAAAAACCTCCAGTGATGGGGCGCCCACCATTTCTGGGGGCAAGCTGTTCCTCTGGTTGATTGTCCTCACTGTCAGGAAGTTTCTCCTTCATTCCAGGTTGCTTCTCTCTTTGATCAGTTTCCAACCATTGTTTCCCGTCCTTCCCTCTGGTGCTCTGGTGAACAACCTGACCCCCTCTGCCTTGTGGCAGCCCCTCAGATACTGAAATACTGCTATCATGTCTCATAAAGAAGGATCAAAATGGCTTTCTTGACTGAGTTTAGCGCCTGGTTATTTCAGAGTTCGGGTTCATATTGTTTCCTTGATAACAACACCGAAGTGGATTGATTACCTCCCTTCACTCTAAGAAGGTTTTTTTTTTTTTCCATCAGCTTCCCAAACTAATTCGGACTTCTCATCCAGGTACTAAGCAGATCTGACTCTACCTAGCTTCCCAGGCTGGCCAAGAACTGTCACAGGCTGGGAGCTCTTAGCTCTAGAGATGGAAAGCGACAGCCTATAAGAGGCAGGCTGGTTTTGTTGGACCTGGTGTGAGCTAAGGTCATCTATGAGCTGACATTGGATGGAACCAGTGAGATACATCTATCTGTTGCAGGTCTAGATTCAGCCTCAAAGGGTGGTGTGAAAGGCGAGGCGAGTGGCATACAAATCAAACAAACAAATGCCCCAACATATTGGCACATCAGCAGGAAAACACTTACCCATTCAAGACATTTCCAGTAGCCTAGGCAAAAAAAGAAGGAAGTAAAGTATTATGGGATGCCTTGAATTTTTCTTTTGCAAAAAAGTCAAATAAGAGACAATTGTCACCATATTAATAATAATAATAATANCATCTAGTCCAACCCCCTGCTCAGGCAGGAAACCCTATACCATTTCGGACAAATGGCTGTCCAGTCTCTTCTTAAAAACTTCCAGTGTTGGAGCATTCACCGCTTCTGGAGGCAGGTTGTTCCACTGGTTAATTGTTCTCACTGTCAGGAAGTTTCTCCTTAGTTCTAGATTGCTTCTTTCCTTGATTAGTTTCCACCCATTGCTTCTTGTCCTGCCTCCAGGCGCTTTGGAAAATAGCTTGACTCCCTCTTCTTTGTGGCAGCCCCTGAGATATTGGAACACTGCTATCATGTCCCCCCTCGTCCTTCTCTTCATTAAACTAGACATACCCAATTCCAGCAGCCGTTCCTTATATGCTTTAGCCTCCAGTCCCCTGACATACTTATTAATAAGTATGTCAGCCAGTTTGGTTTAGTTCAGGGGTAGGCAAGCTTGGCTCTTTTATGACTCGTGGACTTCAACTCCCAGAATTCCTGAGCCAGACATGCTATGCTGGCTCAGGAATTCTGGGAGCTGAAGTCCACGAGTCATAAAAGAGCCAAGGTTGCCTACCCCTGGTCTAGTTAGTGGTTAAGGCAGTGGTTCTCAACCTTTTTAATGCCGCGACCTCAACCGGTCATAAGTCGAGGACTAAACCGGTCGTAAATCGAGGACTTTCCCTGCCCGGGAGCACTGCGCATGCGTGGTTCCGCCCCCTGCGCTGGCCGAGGCGTAGCTGGCAAGCGGCAGAGACGGAGCAGGCCGACCACCAGCTGGCCCAGCCCAAGGGAGGTAAGGCACCTGCCGGAAAAGGGGGAAAAAATGGCAGACAAAAAAAATGGCGGACAAAAAAAATGGTGGACAAAAAAAATGGCGGACAGCCTTGCTTGGTGACCTCCGTGAAATGGTCGATCGACCCCAAATGGGGTCCCGACCCACAGGTTGAGAACCACTGGGTTAAGGCATCAGGCTAGTCCTACTTTAAGCATGAAAAACCAGCTGGGTGACTTTGGGCCAATCACTTTCTCTCAGCCCCGACTCACAGGGTTGTTGTTATGGGAAAAATAGAAGGAATATTAGATATGTATGCTGCCTTGAGTTACTTATAAAATTAATAACAATGGGATAGAAACAAAAACATAAAAAAATATATAATAATTTAGCTCTGTTTTTCAATCCTGGACTTTGGATACAGCATGATATGATACTAAACCATATTATATATTATGTTATACGTTAAGTTAATTTTATGTTGTAGTGTATTGTGTAGTATATTGTACTGTACTATACTGTATTGTATTGTATTATATTGTATCGTATCCATATTTTGGGTGAGAAGAACTTTGGTGCAAAGACAAAAAGATCTAAACTCCCTCATCCCCCCCCCAATATTATTTTTAAGTCAAACACTTCTGCAGTTGCTGTGGCTGGAAGATACTTCATTTGATCTTTTGACAATATGATATCCATATTTCACATTTTTCAATCCCAGATGAGGGTGATATATAACAGTGTGGGGGGGAATAACCACAGTTACCACGATGGGTGCATATTGTACTTTTGCTGCAGCAAATATTTTTTAATCAGAGTCAGTCTGTTGTGACGAATAATAAATAAAACAAGTGAAAGTGAAGTGAGTCATGGCTGGACTACTCGAATGAACGTCATGTGGAGCTGCCCTGGGAGACTGTTTGGAAACTGGTACAGATGATGGTTTTTCTATTGGCAGAAGGTATCCAGAGGATTTTTATCCCAGGGGTATTTAGGGACTGGGCTCCCTATTGTCTTAGATACATTGTTTTGGAGAATTATGCTGGCTTACCTGATTTTCTGGTTGATTCCTGGAAATGACAGTATGTGCAGCGTGATCCCAGGATTTTCTGCAGAGTGAACAAAGGGGGACTTGATCCTCCAAGCAGAAATGACTTAACTCTTCTTTATGTATCATGCACACATCTTGAGCTGACCAATTTGTTTCATCCACAGTGGCCTGTCTGACGGCTTCTTTCATTTTCCCGAAAAATTCTGTGGATCCCTGCTTGTTTTTCAATGAATCTCCTTTACAACTTGAACAAGGCGCTTTCTCTTTTACTTCATCCTCCAAGGATTGGCTGATGCATGTTAGAGAAGAGTACACCCCACAGGATGGAGTGATTGGAGGTTGACAGTTGGTCAAGTCAATCAAACAAACGGTTTCCCCTGTAGAACGGCTTGAAGAAGTGATCCTCTCCTGGTTCCCTAAGGAAGAAAACAGCAGAAATGTGGACTCATCCAAGAGAAGTCATAATGTATTCATATATTGTAAAATTGGAATGCTTGTGGTTTGGGCCTCTTTTTTGTGTTCTTTCTAATGTGGTGTGTGTAACTATGGCAACTTTATGACCTGTGAACTTCAACTCCCAGAATTCCTGAGCCATCATGGCTGCTTGCTCATCCCTGTTCTAAAGTCAGATTATAGATCTAACCAACAGATTTTTTTTTTCCTCAGAAACTATCTTGAGTGATTTCTGCTGCTTAGGGTAAAATATCATACATTAAACAATTATTTGTTTGTCTTCTGAGAGGAGGCTTTGCAGCATCCAAAGTAGAACAACTAGATTCTGTAATAGCTTTATACTATATAGCAGGGGTGTCAAACTGCCGGATGCGTCATGCCGAAACCGCACCCACCCCATTGCCGGCAATGGAAAAAACAGTCACGATATGTCACATGATGTTGCGAGTTTGACACTCCTGCTATATAGTATCAACTCTCAAGACTTTTTTTTCTGCTATGTATTCATAATGGACTATGATTAATATATGTGTGTGTGTGTGTGTGTGTGTGTAATATGTATGTGTATACATATACGTATACACATACACATACGTATTCTTTTGAGAGCAGGCATCAGTATTTCATTTTTTAATGTGTGCCAGTGTGTTCACAGAAAAAAGTAACAATAAAGATTATCTTATTCCTTGTCAGAACTTTCATAATAATAAAAGTTGTTCTTACTTCCTACTTGATTCAGTATACATATGGAGAAGTTAATATCCATATTTAGGAAAAACCCTGAGACATTTATTGGAGGAATATGTAATTCTTCTTTATTAAAACAGTGACAACAAGAACCACAAGTGCTCCATGAAAGTAAAATGGGAAGATAATACTTAAAATAGTGATAAGCATGTTTGAATACCACATGCCCGTTTCTACGTTCTAAGCCTTACATCTATGTTTTAAGTCCATGCCAAAAATATGCGTCGTCTTACCCATATAGTCAATGATCTGAGATGAAAGTTATAGTTCCAGCATCAGTCCTGTGATGTATGTGCATACGTATGCATTTTCTATTTTACTTGTGGCTATGTAGCTTTGTACTAGATGTTAATAAGGTGTGCAAAGAAAGATAAGCCATGAAAGATCTACAGGGGATTTAACTAAAAGCCTGCCCCAAAGCCTTTCAGTGGGTTTTGCATACAGAGCTTCTGGCTCAGCTGCTATTGAGGATCACTCCCTGCTTATCTTTCAAAAAGCATATGTCTAAATTACGGCTATACCCTTGGCTATTAGCTATCAGGAAGCTGCATAGGAGCTGCTGACAATATACAAGTATGTGTTTGTTTCAGCTAACAATTGCCTTGCCGGTCTTTTTTCTTAGAATGCTAGCATTTAACAATAGCTCCTATAATCGTCTTCTGCCAGAATATCCTAACAACTTAACTCATCACTTCTCAGACTCCAGAAAGCAGCTGTTTGTGTCTTGCTTTGCTCTGGTTTTGCTGCTTCTCCTTAGCCTCACAAAAATGACCCAAAAAGGTCCGTAAATTGTCTCTCTTCCTGGATTCTACGAGGGGCAGAGCACGTATAGATCCTTCTCAAAAAACAGTTCAGCTCTCAAGACTGTTTTTCCAAACATTAGGACTCAGTTAAGAAAGATCATTGTCTCATCCACACAAGTAATCCTTGATTTATGACAGTAATGGAGCTTGCCCATTACAGTCATAAGTTGTAACGGTCGTCAAACAGGTCACCCACATGACTGGCCTGATTTTATTATCTTTTTTGTGGTGGTCGTAAGATGAATGTCATGGTTGTAAAGAGAATCCATTGCTTGCTGTAGACCAGTGGTTCTCAACCTTTTTAATGCCGCGACCCCCAACCGGTCGTAAGTCGAGGACTAAACCTGTCGTAAGTCGAGGACTAAACCGGTCGTAAGTCGAGGACTAAACCGGTCATAAGTCGAGGACTACCCAACCGGTTGTAAGTCGAGGACTTTCCCTGCCCAGGAGCGCCGCACATGCGTAGTTCCGCCCCCTGCGCCGGCCGAGGCGTAGCTGGCAAGCGGCAGAGACGGAGCAGGCCAACCACCAGCTGGCCCAGCCCAAGGGAGGTAAGGCACCCACCGGAAAAGGGGGAAAAAATGGCGGACAGCCTTGCCTGTCGACCCCCGTGAAATGGTCGATCGACCCCAAATGGGATCGCGACCCATAGGTTGAGAACCGCTGCTGTAGACTATGGCAGCTGCAGCACACTGCTGGCTCATATCTAAGTGATTGTCCACTAGGACTCTGAGATCCCTCTCACAGTTGCTACTATTGAGCAAGATACCCCCTATACTATACCTGTACATTTGGTTTCTCTTGCCTAAATGTAGAATTTCATTTTTTTAGATAGCACCCAGTGTTCAAGTCTGTCCAGATCCTCCTGTATCTTAAGCCTATCTTCTGGAGTGTTGGCTATTCCTGCCAGGCTATTTCCCTGCTACAATTTGAGTTGCCTTGTATTCAGTCATAACAACACTAGAAATGTGTTACGGATGAGGCAGTCTTTTGTTTCCTCTCAAGCGCTGTATTGTATTGCGTGATTTATTTAATTTGTAATTTGTTAAACATCAATTCATACTAATTGAAGCCGTGGTTTATAG